TGAAATTTTCCAAGGATAGAAGGGGTGCCATCACTTCCTAGCTGATTATGGGCAGATTACTTACACATTCTCTGACTCAGTGTCCTAAAATAATAATAATATTACCTACCAAAAAGGGGTATTATGAAGATTGAGTTGCAAATGACATGATTATTCATTTAGAAAATCCCAGAACATGTGCAAAAAAAAAAAAAAAAAACTCCGGAAACTAATAAGTGAGTTTAGCAAAGTCTCAAGATAGAAGGTCAATATACAAAAATCAATTGTATTTTTAGATACTTAGCAATGAACAGCTGGGATTCGAAATTTGTAAGAATACCATCTATAACAGCACCAAAAAAAATGAAACACTTAAGTATAAATCTAACAAAATACATGTAGGAACTGTCTGTTGATGGACGTTGAGGAGGGCACTTGTTGGGATGAGCATGGGGCGTTGTATGTAAGTGATGAATCATGGGAATCTACCCCCGAAACCAAGAGCACACTGTATACACTGTATGTTAGCCAACTTGACAATAAATTATATTTAAAAAATTAAAAGAAAGAAAGTTATAAAATACTTAGGAAAGAAATCAAAGAAGACCTAAATAAATGGAGAGATATACTATATTCATGCATGGAAAGACCTGATGTATGATTCCCCCCAAAATGATCTATAGATTCAATACAATATCATTCAAAATCCCAGGAGGATTTTTTTTGTAGTTTTTAACTGATAGCTCTCAGCTACCAATTACACAGGAAACTTAACACATGAAAGCAAATAGAACAACTAAATTAGCTAAAACAGTTTTGAAAACAGAAGAATAGAGTTGGAAGACTCACAGTGTTTGATTTCAATACCTACCAGAAAGCCACAGTTATCAAAACTGTGTAGTGTTGGCAAAAGATAGATCAGAAAACCGAACAACAGACCCACACAAATGTAGCCAATTAGTGTTTGACAGAGAAGCAGAGACCATTCAACAGAGAAAGGAGAGTCTTTATAACAAATAGGAACCTTGACCCATATCCTGCGTCATTTACAAAAATTAACCTAACATGGATCATAGACCAAAATGTAAAGTGTGAAGCTATAAAATTTCTAGAAGAAAACATGAGAGAAAACTTTTGGGATCTTGGGTTAGGCAAGATACCACACCTAAAGCACAATCCATAAAAGAAAAAATTGATAAATTGGACTTAAAGGCAGAAATTTCTGCTCTTCTAAAAATACTGTCAACAGACTGGAAGGACAAGTCACAAACTGGGAGAAAATATTTGCAAGTCACATTGTCTGACAAAGGAAAAATATCCAGATAATATAAAGAACCCACAAACCTCAACAATAAGAAAACAAATTCAACAATTTAAGAAAATGGGGCACAGGCTCTGATCACCTCACCAGAGAAGAAGGAAGAGTACATTTTACTCCATGGAGATTAAAACATAAATTTAGAAAAGAATATAAATATATCAGTCATCTGGACCTGAGGTAGAAAAAAATATGTCTTTTTCTGGGTTGTACCGTATTCAGTATATTAAAATTATACACACAAGCATCTTTAATGTTCTAAACAGCATCCAAAAAAATGTATCTGTTCCTACTTAGACATTCAGACCTGATGAGTTCTCCCCATTTTGCTTGTACCATATATTTTGAATATCTAGTTTCACTCTTAATCCGAAAGCCTGCTGCAGTGGTTTTATTTTATTTTAGCATCAAATCCCAGGAGTCAGTTCTCTGGAAATAACCCATCTCCCTTCTTCTTGTGACTGCTTTAACTTAGCTAGTATTTTTCTTTGCATGTCTCTCATTTATTTTTCATCAGCCACTGTTTTGCTCAGTTTCTTTCAGCCCCATGTTACGCTGCCTCTTGATTTTGAAGCCCTGTGACTGACTGCGAGTGGCTGCTGTCTGTGGGAGGAGGAAACGGTGTGGGTGCAGGAGGCAGATGGGGCGTGTAGGTGGGACGCAATGACTCATTTTCTCATGTGTTGATTTTTGATGTAGAAATGTGAAGGACCCCAAAAGAAAACTCTTTATTTGTATTAAAGAGCCCTTAAGTCATTTTAGCCTTGGAAAAAAAAATCTTTTGAAGCTCCTTTGACCTGGCTGCCTCTTTGATAACCTCACTAAATCCTCTGTGCCTTCAGCCTCCGTTTGATCTGATTTATTTCTCCTTCACGGAATGAGAATTCTAACCTCACGTTCATTAGACAAGGCCAATTGCATCAAACAGCTTAAGAGTCTGCATTATTTTTTTGTGCTGCGGTTCAGTTTTACGTTCAGTCACACAGGTTGTGTTGTTTTTCTTTCTTTCTTTCTTTTTTTTTTTAAATTTATTTCTGAGAGAGAGACAGAAACAGCATGAGCAGGGGAGGGTCAGAGAGAGAGGGAGACACAGAATCCAGAGCAGGCTCCAGGCTCTGAGCTAGCTGTCAGCACAGAGGCCGACGCGCGGCTCCAACCCATGAACTGTGACATCATGACCTGAGCCAAAGTAGGACGTGTAGCCGACTGAGCCACCCAGGCATCCCTCAGTATTGTTTTTCTTATATTTTGGTGGGTTTTAAAAGTCATCAATGTTCATAAGAAAAACTGTAAAAAATATATAGAAGGAATAAAGAAGAAAAAATAAAGCACAATTGCAATGCACAACTATTATGGTTTATATTTTGGGGTACAACTTTCCAGACATTTTTTTCACACGCATATATTCACATATAATATATATATTACAATGTATTTAATACTTTTTTTTACTTACTATAGCTTGAGCTTACCTCTGTTGCTAAATATTCTTCTATAGTATCGTTTTTTTAATTAAGTTTTTATTTTAATTCCAATGGAGTTAACATACAAGTGTTATATTAGTTATACAATATAAGTGTTATATTAGTTTCAGGTGTACAATATAGTGATTCAAAAGTATAGCTTTCAATTTTTGCATAATAAGCCACTATTTGAATACATGTATCTACTTACCTACCTACCTACCTACCTATTTTCCTATTAATGGCATTTTCCATTTTTATTGCAAAAAATATAATTCAGTGGACATCCTTACAAGCAAACCTGCCACACTTATAGGAATTTTCTTGGGGTAAATTCTTAGGACTGGAGGTATTAGATAAAAAAAAATGTAAATAATTTTAAGTATTTAAGTTTCCTGGGAAGTTTAAACTTCTCCTTGGCATATGAGTATCATTTCTCTGCATCTTTGTTGGCACTCTTTAGTATTTTTGACAAAAAAAGGGGCATTTAATAGTTTGCTTAATGCACTTACTTATAGTAATGTATAGAATCTTTTTGCGTATTTATTTGCCATTTTAGTTCTTGTTTTGTGAATTTGCCTGCCTATGTTCATAGCCTAATTTTCTATTGTAATGTTTTTATGGTTGCTTATTTGTTCTAAGGAACAATAAGAGATGATTTATAGTGATATTAACCATTTATCTCTCACATATTGCAAATATTTTTAACAAATTAGCATCATCTGTTAAATTCGTTACAAGGTATGTTAACATGTTCATTTTAATTGTGATTAAAATTTGTTTCACCATAATATTTTCCAAATACTACTAGTTATGATTACAAAGGGAGCTCTTGGTTTGCATAATAATTTTGCATCTCAACGCCTTATTAAAATATTTTATAGCTTATAATAGTTACTTAGTTGATTCTATTGGGATTTTTTTTGGTTGATAGCCAAAAATCTTCAAGTAATGATAATTGTGTATTCCATTTTGTACTATTATATCTCTTTACTTTGCGAAATCTTATGGCATTATTGGGAATTTTCAGAAAGACAACTAGGAGTGGAAATAATTGACTGCTTTGTCTTTTTTCCTGATTTTCATGGGAATACCTATAAATACCAAGTTTGCACTTGTGAATGTATATCATTTTCATGTTAAAGTAATGCTTTTCTATTTTTGGCCTGCAATTATTTTTAATGAGAAATGGGTTTTGGATTTTAATTATGCACTTGGAGCATCTGTGGAGATGTTGATGAATTTTTTTTCCATTGAGCCATCCTTGCATTCCCAAAATAAATTTTAAACCCATGATCTAGTTTTTTTAAAGTGTAATGCTTGGTGCATTTTCTTCATGTTTTTCCATATTTTTGTTCATATACAAAATGAGTTTGAGACTAACCGATATTTCATTTTTTGGAGATTATTGTCAAATTTTGGTGTCAGGTTTACACTTACCTTGGTGTTAGTCTTCTCTGAGCTTTGGTAGAATTTGATCTGTGGGGTTATATTATCCTTCTTAGTCATAATTTTCTATACCTTTGCTTTCTTTTTTTTCTTGAGTATAATTGCTGGGGACTTGCTGGATATTGATAACAATAAATAATTAATTACTTACAAAATACAGCTCTGGATTAATTCACAATCTTACCTGTTTGATTTTTTTAATGTTTATTTATTTATTTTGAGAGAGAGAGAAAGAGAGAGAGAGAAAGCATGTGCAAGCCAGGCAGAGGGAGAGAGAGAATCTTAAGCAGGCTCCACACTGTCAGCACAAAGCTGGATGTGGGGTTCGATCTCATGAACAGTGAGATCATGATCTAAGCTGAAATCAGGAGTCTGAGGCTTAACCTACTGAGCCACCCAGACATCCCTTACCTATTTGCTTTTTTAAATCTCATTTTACATTCATCACTTATGGCAGTTTCCCGTGGATCTGCTTCTGGAACCTGAGTTCACTTGTTTTAATGTTGAAATTTCACAGAGCTTTAGCCCCAGCAGCCCACCATTGCAGATCTATGCTTAGTTTCCAGTAATTATGTAATCCCCTTCATGTTTAAAAAAAAAAATGCAGATTTGCTGCATTTTCTAAAACCACTTCCACGTAGAACTACAAATTCAAAATTCAGTGGTAAGTGAGGAGGGAAAATCCCTATCATCACCTCATTTCCTCTTTGAATACTAAGTTGTTGAAAAGTTGTGCTTACTGAGCATTATTTAGGTGTCATCTTTGGGGGGACTTTGTTTTGTGTTTGCAGATATCGCCGTGGTGGAGATGAGTGACGCCTTCCGACAGCCATCATTGTTTTACCACCTTGGGGTCAGAGAAAGTTTCAGCATGGCCAACAACATCATCCTCTACTGTGATAATAATTCAGACTCTCTGCAGTCACTGAAGGTACCTGACTTGTTTACTCCATGTTGACTGTAGGCACTAGAGTTTTAGGGATACCTCTTCAGTCTCTCTGACATCAAAAACTCTTTAAGTAGCTTATGTTTGTGAAAGGCTGTTTTTGTCCGTCCAATAATCTCACAGCAGTTACTAGCAAAGTTGTGAGGTTTATCTAGAATTCAGTGCAGAAGTTCAATGACATACAGGTAGAAAAATTGCCATGTTGAGTTCTGAACTGCAGTTAGAATTGCATCTGGAGAGAAGTGCATTCCCAGGAAGTTGTCCGTGTCACCGGAGAAGGAAATGGAGATCACATGAAGTATGGTCAAGCCGCGTGCTGTGTCACCGTTGGGAGTTTCACTGGGCATACCTGTCTTCACCTAGAAATACACTTCCTACTGAAAGTACTCTGAAGAGAAATTCTCTCTCGGAATAGCACCGGAAAACTGCCATCCTTTTCACTGTCAGATGATTTCAGAAACTTAAGAATTCAGGGAAAGGAGAAATAAAAACCTACTACACTTGTCTACGAAACTCAGCATGTCCCATGTCATACTCTCCAATATAAGGTCATAATGGTATTTCTTCCATCCAAAAAGATTGTCTAAAATGCTTTTGCAGGGCAAGTGATTTTGCACTGTGTGATTCTTTGAAAAGCACGCAACGATTCAGTGAAATGCATGCTGAGTCTGATATCATCCATTTCCTTTGTGAAACTTCCAGCTAGCTTTATGCAACTTTTTCTCATCTATCTCTTCCAGTTTTCAAATCAAAGTCAAACTTGGGACATAGAGCCCTAAAACCAGAACCATATTTCCAATGGCTTAGTAATTATTATATGACGATCTCTAACCCCAAACCCATGAAAAAAAAAAGTAGTATTTTGTTTTTATCTGAATATCTAAAGCTTGTATGACTTTTTTGAAAAATCTGTAGTTTCATTTAGCAAATATACATTTACTGAATGGCAGCATTGTTAGGCTATTGATAGGCTATCCCTTTACAGAATATTCTGAAATAGTCCTAAGAGATTTGCCCCTACTCTGTCTGAATCTGTTTTTCTACCTGGAGCAATTCTTTAACCTACCCCTACTTTATTTCACCTTAGATTTACCCCTCTAATTACTGCATCATAAAGTTTTGTGATGGTGTATTTTAATTAACATTTTGATTTACCAGCATTTATAACATATTAGAAGTCAATAAAGGAATGAAATTATTTTATTCTTTTTGCATTATTTTATTTTATTTACATTAAGTATTCTAAGCAGGCCGTGTTGTGTTAGACATTTTTCACTTTACCCTACTTTTATACTTGCCCTAGGTTATTCTATGATTCAATTTTGACTATTCTTTGCTGGAGACATTTTTTTTTTTTAATTTTTTATTTATTTCTAGGAGAGAGACACACACAGCGTGAGCAGGGGAGGGTCAGAGAGAGAGGGAGACACAGACTCCGAAATAGGCTCCAGGCTCTGAGCTGGCAGTCAGCACAGAGCCCGACGCGGGGCTGGAACCCACGAACCGCGAGATCATGGCCTAAGTGAAAGTCGGATGCTTAACCGACTAAGCCACTCAGGCGCCCCTGCTGGAGACATTTTTAAAAAATGAATTAAAATTACATTTGAGAGAAAGAGTTGAAGTTCATCTTATCAGAAATGTTTATGGGACAAATAAATTGATTTATAATTGCTTTTTACCAGCCTTTGCTCGGAAGTGTTACTGGTACGTGAATACAGTAGGTCTTTAAAAACGCTGGTCTATCTGAAATATACTCATTTATCTTGTACCTAATAGCTGCTTGTAACTGAGCGCTTACTTTGTGTTTCACCCACACACGTTTTCACATTTAATTCTAAAAACATCCCTGTGGGGTATATTATATGCTGTTATATCATTATTTCATAGAATCGCAGACTGAAGCTCAAATAATTTCAATCATCTGCCTGATTCCAAGGCCCACCCTCTTAACCACTAAACTTTATTGCAATTTCTTCTAGTTAGAAGGATATCCAGCTTTCCTGTTAAGTGTGTTCATTGAGAAAACCCATCACCTATGTCTGCCCCCTGAATTGTTCCGTGCAGCAGTCATCTTTTCTTTTCTCTTACTCCTTCTGCTAGCTTAAGCTTTTGCCCTTTGCTATTGTTGTTGTTGTTTGTTTAGCTTGATCCTAGTCCAAATAAATCTCTGGTTGCAAAGGACAAAGTTCCCTGGGACAGAAAGTATTTTTTTCAATCTAACAATTCCCTCTGAGCCCTAGAAATTTCTTTGGTCTTCTGCTACTGAGAAAGTGTGTGTGTGTGTGTGTGTGTGTGTGTGTGTGTGTGTGTGTAATTTTATTAATTTCCATTGCAGTTCATTACAGATGTTATCTCTGCCTTCTGCCAACAGAAAACTTCTGTGAAATAAGGCAGAACAGGAGTTATTATAAAAATAGGTATAGATTAGCCAAATAAAATAAAAGTGAAGCAGTTCCCTGTTTTCACAGGGCACAGACAGAACGAGAATGCTATTCTTGTCACATATCTAGCTTCACTTAGGGTGATTCTTTGACCATCTAGAAAGTACAGCGGCACCAGTTTTATTTTCATCTACTGCTCTTTGTTGAAGAGAGCAGTTCCTCTTTGGCAACAAATCCTCAGGACAAAATCATAGGAAAAAAAAATTTAACTTTAGGCTCCTAAAAAATAATTGATAGGAACCATAAAAATATTGAAATCTGTGTCTGGGTTTTCATATGTAAGCATATTTAGAGTCTAATCAAACCATGTACTTGCAGTAAGATTTGTATCCATTTGAAATCACAAGTACTATCTTATTGCAGTAAGAATGAAATATTTAATTTTTTTTCAGAAAGAGATCATTACACTTTGAGAAAGAAGTTGATAGTTGTTTCCCTTAGCATTTTAACATCACAATTTTCACTGTTTTCTTTAAATAAATACCACGATAACTTCTTATGTGCATGTTAATGAGACTCTGCTAAGACTTAACATTTGCTTGAAAATAAGAAATGGCTCTAACAGTTTTTTTCAGGTTCATTTCATACGTTACAGAAATGATCAGACTTCCATCCAGGCGGGGCCTCTCACCAAATGGGAGAGTAAGCCTGAACTTGACAAACCAATGAGTCGACCCATGAAAGGCATCTGAAAGGCATCTGACATCAGAAAGGACTTGGGGGAAATGAATGGCTGTTGTATAGAGTGTGGAAATAGTTCTAATGAGCCATTTCTTCTATCAGCAGAAATTCCTTTTCTAACAGCTCTCAGCTCTACTTATTGAGATTCGTTTCCCTTTTCCTTTCTTCAGCTCCCATTCTTCTCTTCAGGCCACTACCCACTCACTTTAAACAATGCTGCTTATAAAAACAAAGCAACACAAAACAAGGAAACACCACTGCATACCATCAGGTAGTCAACAATTAAAAGCCCTTATAATGCCCAGGACAAGGACAAGGCTGGGCGCAGCAGGAGACAGGTGCTGCTGGTGACAGCGTAGGATTGGCACTACTTCCAAAGAGCAATTTGGCAACACCTGATATTATCAGATGAGTGTAGCACCGAGGCTCAGGCAACGTCTCTGGATGTGTACAGAAGGAGATCTAATCAAGAATGTTATATTAACATTGTTTGTAATACCCCCCCCCTCCGCCAAAGAATTGGTAAATACCTATCAACAAGAGAACGAATAAATACCTCCTGGTAGAGTCATTTAGTGGGATATTCTAGAGTACTTAAAATGAGTTAACTAGAGTCTAATGTGTCACTGTCAGTATATCTCAGAAACAGTGTCGACAGAAAAAAACAAATTACAGAAGCATGTATGTGGTATGATACCATCCATACAAAATCTAAAAACATGCAAGGCTGCACTTTTATACCTCTTTGTGTTTTAAAGGATAGATGTGTGCATGGGGATTACAAACAACAAATTCTGAATAGTTATCTCTTTGGGAGATAGGAATAGAATAGAACTGGGGGAGAAGACAAGAGTCTTCAAGTTTATCTGCAATTTTAGATTTCTAAGTCCAAGCGGTATATCCATGAGTATGATGATTTCTATGCTTTTTTAATAGTTGAAATATCTCACAATCCTTTTTTAAAGGAAGAAGTTTGTAGTACTTTGTTCTTTCCTATATCTTTCCAGATAATTTACATATATTGTGGGCATTTAAATCCCCAAATAGTTTTTAATTTATTTTCCTTGCATTCTAAGTGTGATTAAAAAGGCTCAGATGCATTTGGATCTTTCTTTCTGCACTAAGATAGGCTTTATTCCCATTTTACCTATTACAGAATAAATGTTTCTCTAGAGATTGAAATGCATATCAGTTAGTGGTGCCACAGCTTGTGTTGAAAAGTAATGATTCTGTGAGATTATTCCCTTTTCAAGAAATTTAGTTGTATTTTTCTTTTTAATCATTGCTTGAAAAGTTATTTTACAGATGGGATTTTCCTTAATAGACCATTCTCTACAGCAGTGCATCTGCGTGCTTACTCCTTCACCATCTCACTGAATATAGCACATGATGCCAGGAGCTCTGCCTCTGCCTCAGTGTATCTAGAATTTTCTAGCTTGGGATGTGACTAGAATGAAATCTTGGGCATACAAACCAGAATTTGTAAAACCATCAGTAAAGTAGCACTTTAAGTACCATTGATTTTTTAAAAAAAGTTTTTTAATGTTTATTTATTTTTGAGACAGAGAGAGACAGAGCATGAGTGGGGAGGGGCAGAGAGAGAGGGAGACACAGAATCCGAAGCAGGCTCCAGGCTCTGAGCTGTCAGCACAGAGCCCAATGTGGGGCTCGAACTCATGAACCATGAGATCATGACCTGAGCCCAAGTCAGACGCTCAACCTACTGAGTCGATTTTTAACAGGACACCGTTCTTGAAAAAATTAAAAATAGAATTACCAGGGTCACCTGGGTGGCTCAGTCGGTTGAGCATCTGACTTCGGCTCAGGTCATGATCTCACAGGGTTGGTGACGTCAAGCCCCAT